TGAAACCCTTCAGGCAGATTGGGGACTCACACCCCCCAGGAAGAGCTGGGGAAATGATCAGAGAGCTGGGGAGCTGAACCTGGAGCTATATGTCAATATCAGAGCAGTCCTTCCCCCTCTTCTTCCCTCTCCTTAGTTTCTGTTTAGCTGCCAACAAGGCAGTTTTGAAACTTGAAACATTTTAAAACTTTTGAAATGTTTCAAGTGCCCTCCTTTCATTCGTTCAAAGCCTTTTGTTTCATTTCAGTTTCGCTGTTTTGAGCTCGAAATGAGTCGAAACAGCTTTGAAACGGAATGCCCATCGTAATTTTGCCCAGCTCTGCTGGGAACTGCCCTTGTGCCTCTGAGTGGCTGATCCTGTCCCCAGCTGGGTTGTCTGGCCCCTGTTCCTCTGAAGTACCTAGTATAATGGTAGAGCCCAGTCCAGTTTTGTCACCAGCTGTGCCTGCTCTGGGGCTTCTGAGGAGCAGTCTAATGAGCAGTAAAGTATCTTGCGTAGATGCGCCCAATGTGCTGATGGCATAGGGCAGCAGCTGGCAACCGTTTGGAGCCATGGACCAGAATAACTAGGTTTGGAACACCAGCCTCCCTCAGATCCAACCTGGCTTCCGTTGCTGTTGCTTCTTCCTGCTCCCCAGCCATGATGTAGGCAGAACTCCTCATGACCCAACTCTTTATATGCTGTCACCAAAGTGACCTTGTTGCTGATGCATGCCCTAGCCTCCTTACTCTGCAGGCTGGATCCAGCCCAGGGGTCATATGTTGCTTACCCAGAGCCTGGGATTGAATCCATAACTTCCATGTCTCAACATGCCCCTACTCTGTAGCCAGTAGTGGCATACAAGGCTGGTAGATTGCATCATATTCCTGTCTGCTGGATGGTCCATGTAGACTGTAATAAGCACTTACAGCTACTATTTACTCAGCTGAATGGGCAGAGGTCCGTGTGATGGACTTAAAGGTTTCAACTCTTCTGAAGACCTGTGTAAAAGAGAACAGCAGGTAATCATAAAATTACTAACTGCATCATAATGCATGCCTGCAAGGTAGCCTAGTTAAAGTTGTAAAATCTTATTCTGGCATTTGCTAACTTTTCAGTACTTGATTTTGTAATCTTAATGTTATTTCTATGTGGCTTTTATAATCCAGTGTCCCAGGTTTTTATGAAAGGTGAGTGAACACCCCAACCCTGAAATTCCACCCACAGTGCAAACTGATTCCACTTTAAGTAACAGGCAAAAAATGCTGCTGTATAAACTGATATGCGAACGATATATAGGGATCGATGTATGATGATTTGAAATTCAGTCACTACCGTGGCAGAATACTGTGCTGTTTGACAAAGCCCATGTCAATGCTGCACAGCAGTTTAGCAAAGTGAAGAATGCTGTATCCAATTGAAACTGCATCCTGAACTGAAACTGTATCCAATTGGAAGTGCTCAGACCATTTACTTCTGTAGAATGTCATTACTGGAGGTGGAATTTGGCCAGGACAAAGCTAGAAAGCGGACACTCAATTATCCCAGAAGGTCAGGACCTCACTTTTATAGCTCACCTGGCAGACTGTTGCCCTCTGATATCATCTGAAGACACTAGCTCAGTAAAGGATCCAGAGGGAAGGGAATATATACACTATTATAAACTTAAAGGGATTTTTTTTCTTAAAACAATTTGAAGGATGCTAGGATTATTCCTGATGAATATATACATTCTTATTGTATAATAACATTTGTATAACAATTGTATAATAGTAATATAAGAATAACAAGATATTGTATAATAACAATACATTACATAGATTATTACACACAGACACGTGTGCACACACACACAATAATATATTCATTGTTATAAACTTAAAGGGATTTTTCTCCTCTTAAAACAGTCTGAAGGATACTGGGATTATTCCTGATTAATACCAGACATTAATAAAAAGTATTTATTTTTTCCTGTGGTTTAATGAATAATATTTTATTGCGCTCAAAATCTGTAGCAATGATTTATCTGTTTATCAGGAGAATACATATTGGAAATTGCTTCTCTATAAATCTTTTTCTAGCCAAAGGATTCATTTAGTGTAAGGACTGTTTTTAAGAACCTCTTTTTGAAGGGTACATTTCTTTTAATTTCTTAACATAATGGAGGAAAAAATTACTTTTCTGGTAACCACATTGAAATATTCACTAATAATCTTCCCATTGTATATCTTAGAGGAAGGAGAGGGCTAGTTGGAGCCCTAGTGTTGCACCTTGGGTAAGTTTGGCTTAGAAATCATGTGTCAAATGTGACTTTTTTGCACGTGTCCAGTGTATTTGGAAAAAAACATAAGGGTCCAACCCCGCTTCCTTTGATTTCCATTGCAGCAGAACTGGGGCTGAGTTGGAAACCCAGGGCATGATTTGCTACAAGGCTGTTGTGAATGTGGATATAAATTGGAAGCATAATTTGCCCTCAGAGCTACCACATATGTTCATGTGATAACAGAGTACTGCCAGCTGTTTCAGATAAGCCTAGACTACCTTGCATGGCATTATAGCACGCAACGGGAGATTTATTTCCTAGTACATATTGAAAGTGAAATCTATTGTTCAATTAGGCCGAGAGGGTAGACTTTTACTGCTATTCAAAGATTCAGAAATCTCCATTCTCTTAGATGGTTACTGTTTTTGATTACTTCCAAATTGAAGGGTTTTTTACTAGAATGTATTTCATTGTCTGCAGCACACTGATTTCTCCAATTTCATCTACAGTTGTGGAATATAGCTACTGAGCTAGCATCCATTACTTTTGATACTTAGTTATAGTTAGTAGGTGAATTGGACCTTTGTCACGTGTTACACTTAGGACATATTAACTACATTTAAAACATGTCTGCATGTTCAGGCACTAAAATACACTTGATAAGGGCAATTTATATAATAGAAAAGTTAGGACTGTTCATAGGAGGAGTACCTACATATATATTGTATTAAATCATCATTGGCAATCCCTAAATTTGAGGATGATCTCTATCATGGCTCAATGATGGGTCTTGAAGTGACTTAAGAGTCCAGTCCTTGAGTTACAGACCTGTCCACAGAAGTCATGGGTCTTTCCACAAGGGAGAGTACACTGTAGGCTGGGACTCCTTTTCTTTTCCTCTTTTTGCTTTCTCTTCTGTTTTGAGAGTTGATCCACATGCAATGTCCAGTCCAACAAAGTTGGTGCTTGAGGATCACCAACTCAGTGCTAGTAACATTGGCTTCAGCAAGGATGCTGGCATTTGTGCGGTGATCATCCGAGGATGCCAAGGATTTTCCAGAGGCATTGTTAGTGATACCTCTTCAGGTTCTTGAGATGATGACAGTAGGTCACCCATGTCTCACATCTGTAGAGGAGAGTGGGGATGATGACTGAGCTGTAGACCTGGATCTTGGTGTCTTTGCAGAGACTACAATCAATAAAAACATACCAGAACAATTTCTTGAAGAAGGTGTTTGTGCACCGGTTCCTGTGTGGGTCTCCTCATTAATGTTTGCTTTCTGAGAGGGGTGATTGCTAAGGTAAGGGAAGTGCTCGACTACCTCCAGGGTCTTTTCCTCAATGTTAATTTGAAGAGGGGGGTGGGGGGTCACATTCATGGCCTGGAGTGGCTGATGCTGATGGAGCACTTTAGTCTTCCTGATGTCACAAGAGGGGCCCAAAGTTGGGTAGTCTTCTGTGATTTAAATAATGTGTGTTCTGCTATCATGCTACTGCTCCATGGAGATGATATGAGCAACTTGTGGTCCTGGGGCTTGGTCTCACAATCACTTGCAGCTCCTAAAAAACGTGTTTGCGTTATACTGAAACCTGTTTAAGGGTTGTTGGTCTAAGCCCTGAGACTTCATAGGAGCTGGTTAAAGTATCCACTGTGGTGCCAGGGCTGGGTCCAACAATCAGCAAGCTGGAGATTGCATTAGAGATTGTAGTAAACATTATCATGTGACTAACTGTTAATACACCATGCTAATCCTTACTACAGTCTGCATAAAAAACATCCTAAGAGTTCCTTGTGACAAGGCCCTTAGAAATGACATGGATGGAATATTTTATAGCATATTGAGCTCCCCCCCCAACCCCCAATATGCAATAAACTCATTTAATGTATCATGGTTCCACAAACTTGACACAATCTGAATAGCACTTTATTCATGCTGTTAGCCCCACTGTTGATAACAAGCTATTTAATGCAAATGAGAAATGCAGAATTGGGCCCTTTAAATATATAACTGAGGGGTTGCATTCATAGTTGGTTGATAATGCAGCAACTCGTATTTTTAAGATGATAAGTTTCCTGATGTGTTACTATCAAGCAGCTCCACTTCTACAGCAAGTTATCTGGCATTAACATGTATGGACTTTACTAAGATACCATGCACCATATCTTCAGGCTTTATGAGGATGTTAGCTAGGAAACCTGCCTGAATTATGCAGTACTAACAGGAAGGGGATGCATGAATTCTTAAAGTCAAGCAAATGGTGGTGATCATAAAGCACAAGCCCAGCGAATTTAAGGCTTGGGCCGGTGCCCGCAGGGGCAAGATAACACTTAGAAACAGGATTTTGACATTGTTTCAAAGTATGTATCCAGCAATTTATACACTGAGCCAAGCTCACCCCCTCATAACTGCATTGATCTCCAGATGTTTCTATTGCACAGCAGGGACATATGTGGTCCACAAGATAGATTTTGGGAAAATAAAAATGCCATCAGCTTGCCTTCATTTTAAAGTGCTGTACTTTAAAAGGGTGTGCTTTTAATAATAGCTGTTAGTATTCATATAGGTCTTCTGATCTTCAAAATGATTCCCAGATATTGCTTAATATTTGCAAGAGCCCTGTGGGGCAGGTGCAACAAGCAAAGATCCTTGTTATTGAACAACTTGAGAAACTGAAGAAAAATAGTGAAGGCCACATAAGAAAGAGGATTATTGCTCAGGAAATGTGAACTGGTGAGCCTGTTTAGACCTCTCAAACACAGATGCTGTCAGCCCATGACCAGATCCAGCTTGCAGGGCCATTTTGATCCAGCCTGTGGACATAGAGATTTGGTGGCATTTGGCACCAGGTAGCTTTGGCAGTGGTCACTTTTCCAGTGCTACTATGGGGGAAAATGGCAGCAATGGGCACTTTCCCTATGCCACCACAGAGGGAAGCAGTGGTGGCTGGGTCCTCGTACCCACTTGTCTCTTATTCAAACTGGGTTGTTCTGGCCCACAGTCTGAAAAAAATGCTGACTGCTGGTTTGGCATGCTAAAACTCACTCTTTTCTAGTACAAATATTACTTGAATGATGGTCTTTTCTTGCCACAATTAGAGCTTAGCTGCCATGGGTTATTGTGGGGCAAGAGCATGTCCACAGGCAGTGACTGTGGAGCAGCTGACATGCTGTAAAGCCCTGCCCTCCTTCACCTCCATGATGGCTTGTTCATCCTCCTATGCCTTAAGTTTCTTTATACAGAACAATAAATAACAGCATGATTTAGCTTGGCTGATGTGGTAACGCCATGTTGTAGCTGACAGCATTGCTCACAGCATACCATGGTGCTCCATGTATGCCGCCAACCTCACCAGAAGCAGCGTAGCCCTGTTCATGTAGCACCAAGGGTGGGCTCACAGACCCTGTTCCTTAATACTGCTTATTAGCGTGTCTCCAGTGCCATGTGCATTCAGCCACGCTGCTTTCAGCCAAGAGAATGGTCCACATAGAACAGCACAGGCTATTCAAGTGTGCTGCTTCTGTGTGTGGCAAATACGTGGTTTAGACATAGCCCAAGAATACATAAAGCAACTAATTGGAGGGTTATTTCCTTCTTCATATGCAGAGAATGAGTGCATATATGTATTACAATTGAAAGAACATATTTGGGTTGCATTTTAAATTTGATTATTTGACAATGCTTACTGTGTGAGGTTTGCAATTTAACAGAACACCTGTGAATTGGTGAAGGTGTTGTCCTGTAGGGCCAAGCCAACTCTCAGGATCTCAAAATTGCGCTGTTAGATGGGAGGGTGTGACACAATTGCACATACGCGCACACAAAAATCAATTAGGTGCACACACACACTACCAACTCAGGCACATACACATCCAAGATTACCAGTCCAAGCCCATGCACACACATCACCATTTCAAGCACATACACAATGTACACACTGAAAATTAGACAAAAATCAGTTGTTAGTATCCATACACTCAATACACATACACATATCACTAATTCATATATCATGCACACAATGATAGATATATATAACATGTATTTTCCAGTTCACACACACCACCCACCTACACATACACACAGGTGAGTTCTTAACTTGGGTGGTATGGTGTGTATGTGTCTGCTTGGTGTACTTGGGATATTTAGGATGCTCGATGACTATCAAGGGTCAAAGATTTCTGGAAGAAGGGAGATGGATGGGGGTTAAGATGAGAGAGGGGAAAATAAGAGAGTGGAAGTTACCAGGGTCGGGATTAGAATGGGCAGACTAGAGAGGAAGCTGGGGTTACTTAAGATCAAGTGCCCTGGGGTTACTTGGGGTCACTGGGGCTTGGCGTTACATAGGGTTAGTGTGCCCCGGGGTTACTCAGGGTGACCTGGTGCCAGGGTGGAAGCAATAGGAAAAGCCCAGTGGCAAGAAGGAGGCAGCCAGGAGATGGAGAGGCAGAAAGCTGGGAGATAGCCAGGAAATCAAGGAGGAGGTTTGGGAGGTCAATAAGACAAAAACCCAACTTAGGGGTTTCAAAATGTCCATTTAATAAACCTGTTGACACACTGCACAGCCCCATAAAACTATTGGTTCCTACACACACACAAGCACTCACATACGTACTCACACAATGGTAGCAGGAGAGAAAAGGCTTGGTGGAGGGATTGAAGTCAAGGTGTGTAGGGACAGAGTCCAGGTCCATTGCTGGGGGAAGGAAGGTGGGTGATAGCTACCTGTTCTGGTGGGGGGTGATATCTACCTATCCAGGCAGGAAAGGGTCCTTGTCTAGTAGATGTTGTCCAGAGGGGGGTCGCCAGCAGGGCCTCTGGGTGGATAGGTGATGTGGCATGGTGCTGGTCCAGATGGAGAGGGTGTCCCACTGGGTCTGTCTTCACTACCCCTTTTTATAGGGGCAGACCTTGTGTGACCCTAGTGACAGGAGGCATGCCCAGGCAAGGGTCAGTCCTTGTGTACTGAGCATATGCACTCCAGGCAAGGATGTGAAGTTCCAGATAACTTTGTTGCAATAGTGGGTTGGCTGATTTCTGTAGGGTCTTTATCTTTCAAATGCTGGGTCCATGGTTCCTGGGTGAGTCAATGGAAGGCAAAGGTCCAGTCATTGAGCTGATGGTCCAGTTGTTGAGGTGATTATTCAGTAGAAGCCTGCTACCATTGTATCTCAAGCACCCTCATTCATCCCCATTCATTCAGGAACCAATTTACATGAGACTGGTTACACTGGGGCAGAGGACACAAGGTGGAGGCTTGACATTCAAAATGGAAACTTGACATAACTTGACATTACTTATGCTAACTTACACATGTAGGTCTAAATCATATAGTCTCAATTAAACAAAACAGTAAAAATCAGTAAAACAGTAATCACACTGTAAAAATCAATATAAACATAATAATTATACAATATAAAACAATGGATCAAAGGAGGAGAGAGAGAAGAAAAAAATACTTGCTACAAAAATGCTACAGCTTATCCTATGTCTTAGCTTACTCATACTTATCTATAGGGAATAGAGAGGGAGAGAAAAAGTCAGAAATAGTTGGGGAAGGGAGGGAATGCATTTCAAAATTAAAAAAAAAAAAAAAAAGAAACTGGGGGTTTTGCTACAAAGGCTTACAAAAATCATTGAATGTTCCCACCCTACACTCCCCAGGTATACCCCAAATTTGCATTGCAAAATGCAGTGCCCTGCATGTTCACATAGTGTTGCCATTAGGTAACTGGAGACCTCTGTAGTTGACATGAAGTTGAGCGAAAAACAAGGTGATGTTTTCCAGACTAATTTGTTTTTTGAAAAATACAGCTCGGGGGAACTCCCTAGTCTGACTTAAATATGGCAAATTATGGAAGAGGAAAGAATTGAGGGGGAACAATTGAGAGGGCTGAATGGTTTCTTTTAAACATTTTGAAGAAGTATGCTCTGTCCTTTCATTTCAGAATAGCAGTTCATTTTGAAATTGAATCTATTTTTTATTTTTAAAAAGAGGGGAAACATGCCCTAAAACTAAACATAATGCTTCATTTTGGGTCAAATGGACCATTTCATTTGCAGAATGAAATTGCAATTTAAAATAGCAGGGACAAGTTAGATTAACATGAAACAAAAGTTTTTTTCAAAACATGGGGGAACAAGATCGATTTATTTACAAAGCTGCAGTTAGATGTGCTTTCCAGAGCAGCACTTCCATCCACAGAAACATTCCTTATTATGAGACCAGCAGCTGGAGAAGACGGTTTCTAAACCTGGTCAAAGCTATTAACCTGAGAAGAACAATGTAATTTGCAAATGAATCCCTCAGTATTGGGAGGTCTTGGTGATGCCTTATTGTACGTCTGCAGGTACTTCAACACGTGCTTTCAGACCTTCCACCTCAGCTGAACCTGCTGACTCCTGTGATGGACTCTGTTTTGAAAATACATTTATCTGCTTTGGCACTTCAGTCCGTTTTTCGCCTTCAATTTTCCCTGGTTTCTCTCCCGGGCAAGCTTCAACTTCTATCTAAACTGAAGACAAATACTGGTAATACAGTTAATAGCTCTTCAGATTTTCCACTACAGAGATAAAAGGACTGATGCTGTGAGGTATAGAAAGTCATTTGCAGGATACAGGTACGTCCAACTCCGTTTCTGCTGTGGGAGTACAGGCTACTCAAAATACTGCAATGTTAATTCATTAAGGAATCCCACTCTAAGTAACATAGCTATAATTATAAGACTCATGCTGAGGCACAGAAGGTCATAGGGCCTCCTGAACTCTGCAAGCACTTGTTCTAATTTCTGAGAAAGTTATCACAAAAAGCCTCATTCTACATTTTGTCATTCCTTTTCCAAGAGTCAGTTGTTAAATTTGACTCCACCTGATCCCATCAATTGCATAGAGGAGTTCAGGAATCCTCTGACCTGGAGCTGAGGAAATTGGAGGCATAAGAAGTCGGCTAACCTCCTGGGGTAGTTGTGATGAATGGAGGGAGCAGCATCTTCCGGCTGCCACTGTGCCTCTGCTGTAATTGTGATGGTTGAGGAAGTAACTATTATTTTTCATCCCTTCCTTCTAAGTTGGTTCCCAGAGCTGTTGGCCCAGTTTTCTCCCCCTAGTTATGCTACTTGAGGGAATGCCTCAGAAGTTTTGCCATGAATATTTACTTGCACAGAACTGATACCTTCTTTTGCAGTAATTTTTTAATGACCATCCTTGCGTAGGGGCTAAGTGACAAGCATTAGGGCTGTGGGAAGCTTCTGTAGCAGATTCTATTCAGAGGAGATTTGGCTTGATTTGGGGGCTGCATTTCTGAATCAAACTGGGAGACCTATGAAAAGCTTCAAATTGATTTGAAGCATCTGAATCAATTAAAAAAAATATTTGGAGATTTGGATCGGCTGGGGAGAGGCAGGCACTGCCAGGCAGTTGCAGATTCTCCTGCAGCTGCTTCAGCTGTGCCTGCCTCTCACCGGGTGGGGGGCAGCCCCCATATAGTTTGCGTGCTTGGCCCCGGCCCTCTGGCCTTTAAAAAAAAAAAAAAAAAAAAAAAGCCCTGCACTCACTAGGTGTAGCAGTCACATGGAGCCTGGCAGCACTCAGCCCCAGCAGCCATAGCTCCCAGACAGTGCCCTGTCAAGCTGCGCTGCACCCATGTGGGTGCCAGGTGGGGTGGGGAGGTGCGAGTCCCTGCTGTCCCACACGGTGCGGGGGTGCTCTGCCTTAAGTGCCCAGAGGCCCTGACTCGCCACAGCTGCAACTTTTTATTTTTTTAATTTTTTTAAGTGCAGGGGGCTGGGGCTAGGCAGGGCATCCATAGGGGCTTCTCCCATGGCTCCCCCCACCTGGGGAGAGGCAGGCACAGCTGGAGGTGCCGCGGGAGAATCTGCAGCTGCCCGGCTGTGCCTGCCTCTCCCCGGCTGATCTGAATAACTGAGTCTCTCTGAATTGGTGCTGAATCTTCGAAAGCTGTTTCGGCCCAATTGAATGTGCCGAATTGAATCTCCTAATCAAATCATTGTCCTCCAAATCGGCGAATCTGAATCAAATACTTCCCTATTCACACAGGCCTAGCAGGCATGTTCTCAGAAACACTGAGTCATAATGGAATAGTAGGGGACTTATGGGAGATGTACTTTCAGTTTACATGTTTATATTTATATGCGTACAACATTACACAAAGGTGTCTTTGTCCATCAGGTAAAAGAAGCAATGCAACATGATCTGTGTTAAATGTTAATGGGAACTGTAGGACGAGCACATCAAGCAAACAGGTGCACAGCATTGTTATTGCAAGTACAGTTCTTAGTTGTGAAGCCTGCTGATGTGTAGTATATATCCTGCAAAATAAGCTGTCTCTGCTCCAAGGAACATACAAACTGAAATTAGGTGATATATTTTAAAATAACTTTTCCTACTTGGAGATGAGATGTTTCCCTGGCCTCAAGCCCATTGGAGTTCATGGAGCCCATTGACTTGAGTAGGCTTTTGATGAGGACTCAGCTGGAGAACTTGCCTCAGTATCCTTGGCTGTTACTGTAGATACAAACACACTGTAGGTGTGTCCACTGGGGACGGTATTATAATGTTTTTCCTGGAGTCTGAATGGTGAGCCAGATTATCTCAGTGTTGGTGGTTTTACACACACATCCATCAGTGATTTATAGCAATACAAAATTATTTTGAGAAAAAGGTTTCCATTCTAAAATAATTAGGGTAAATCCTGAACTGGAAGGTAATACAGTCGAGGTGTCTTTTAAGAAAAAAAGATTAAAAGCAGAGCTTTTCTATAATCCAGGTAAAACTTTGAAGTCTGAAAAAATGGGAAACCTCCATTTATGCTACAAATAATCCTCTAACAGAATGTGCAGAGTTTATAATCCACAGTTGTCTCTGGGGCTTTGACCCTATTAATAAAAAACAAATGGATTTGTTGGTAAGATATTATGCAGTTGTGTGTCTAAAAGCGATGACTTTCTAGCCTTCATTCATGCAGATAGGATGATGAGATTTGTAGATTTAATCATCATATCCTTAGTAAGCATGATTATAAAAGTTATGCTCAGTCCTAGAAATTTTAGTTGGAAATAATTTCTTATTAACTGAAATTCAACTGAATCTATCAGCAGAGTTGGGAAAAAATACTAATTACATAGATTTCCCTGACATCTACTTCCTTGAACAATTTTTGGAAAGTGCTAAAAAGAAAAAAAATATATGCATGCAGCTTTAGATTTTTGCTGAGGGTGAAGGGACAAATAGTGTAGCTGAGTGTCAGTGCAAAGGCAATGACAAAGGGGAACTTTAGTATAAAAAGATTAATTCATTTTTGGAATGAATAATGAAGAAAGAGAGTTTCCCTGTGGGGGAAAAAATCTCGTAATACAGTTAACAGGGCTATGAATTAAAATGACCTTTTGGATTATGAAAGGGAGGGAATTACTTGGAGAATTGCTAAAAAAAGACCATGAGGACATCTTGGTAAAACTACTGCAATGGAATAAGTAAAGGCAGCATCTCAGTTAGTTCATCTTTGCATTCCCAGCTCCTAAAGAATAAGATGTTTGATTCTTTAAAAATAAAGATAGACAGTTCAATCAAAATATTTACAGTGGTTCTTTATTTTAAGATCTAACTTTAATTGAGGCATCACTGTGCAACGATTATTTTTGGCATTTGTCAGACAGGTTATGTGGCTCACCCAGGGTCATTTAGGGTATGTCTTTACTGCTTTTGCAGTGATCCTGAGACTACAGGCAAAGAAACAAGCCCATTTCTCCAGGCTGCCTGGTGTGTTTTGTTTCCCACTGTCCTAAGCAGCGCAGCCCACAATCTGCTCCCTTGAATGGAAATTGAATCACTTAACACAAAAGGCTGTGAGAGAGAGAGAGTGAGCAGCGATGAGGTTAACAAGATTTGTGAGGCAGCAGGATCAGGGTGACAAGAGCGGGATGTGCACTATGTATCTGAGATTCAAAAAAAAAAAAAAAAAATTAGCAGAGAGATGTGGTATCTTTTGAAAAATACAATTTCTGCCTTCCTGCTGGGATTCATTTCAGAATCTAGTAATATCTTAAAGAAAAAGAGGAGGGGAGGTGGGAAACAAACAATTTATTTTCTTTTTCATCTCAGCGACACATTGCAGTTTTGAGTAAAATTGGTACAACAATTTTTAGAGGTTCATTCTCTCCAGGTTCCCTCTAAAATTTCTGCTTTTTGGCCCAGCAGACAATTGATTCTGTGGCTTAGGACTGGGCTGATATGTGAACTGGACAAAATCTTTTTGTATTTCTTTTCTGTAAATCCAGCCACAAATAAAAATACTGAGCACTTAGAAGAGACCCATTGATTATTTCAGATACTTGCTAAAGACTTAGGAGGAAGTAGAAAAACTTACCCTTACCTTGGGATTGGATAGAAAATAATTTGCATTATCAAATCTTTATGACTACTGTACAGCCTCTGTGATGTAGATCTTCTAGGAGACAGTGGCCACATCTACGTGAGATCTACATGAGATGCTGACTCTGCAGTCATTACTGTGCAGTCATTTAGTATGTGTACAGAAGTACATGTAGTACACAAGTACTAAATGTCTGTGCAGGAACCAGTGTTACTGTGCAGCAGCATTGCTGAATGGCTTTTAGGTGATGCTGGCTGTGCAGTAGCTTCGTTACGACTGCACAGTTGTGACGTATCACACTTCCTGCCATGTGACTCGACTGCACAGTAGTAGTGAGCTACTGCACAGTCAGCGTCTCATGGAGATGTGGCCAGTGAGCACCTTTGCATAGTAACCAGGTAATTGACACAGCCCAGTTTCTTAAAAGAGTTTTGGAAAACTGATTTGTAGTGTGATTGGATGCCTGAATTGCCTACAAAAGTGGGTAATTTTCTCATATTGCTCATGAAGGAAGCAGGCAATAAACTCTTAGATACTGGTTCTCTTTTCTCTCACACACTTCATTTTCAAATCAAATCATTTTGAAATCATTTTCAATGAGTGACACCAGTTTACAGCTAGAATAAGCATGAGGAAAGTCAGCTTTATGCTTTCCTTTGATTTCTTCTAGACTGCCAAGACCTCCTACTAATGTAACAGAGCTGTTTAACTCAATGACTTGTAAAGTGCTTTGAAGGACCAAGAATATAAGAGGACTTGTAAACCGAACCCTTCATATCTATCTTGGTATCTTGCCTCAGAGTGTGGTTGGTAAATTGTCTCATTTCCTGTTCAGAGCCACTTCCATCTATAAGGGATTATTAGCAGATAATTTTTGATAGCAACAAGGAGTTGAATTATTTGGCTATGTGACCATAACAAAGGGACTAGAAATCGGGGGCCATTAGATCAGGCCCTTAATAGAACCTGAAGAACAGAATAAAGCACTATATTACTGATGGATGGTAATCCTGTACATAAACATTGGTGCATACACATCCCTACTGGCTGACTGACTTCAACCTGCAATTGTAAGTGTTGTCCATAATTTCTCATTAGAAAAGCTAGCCTCAACTTGCAACAGAGAGAAAAACAAGGATGGGTCTGATGAATTGGCCAACTATAATAATTAAATGGCTTTTCACAGAGTGGAGGAATTGCAAACAAAGTGGAGGCTAATATACC